TGTCCCCTAAACTATTCGGAAGCTGTCTAAACGGACGACGGATTGCAAAATGCCGGTTGCGGGAAGGCTTGATGAGTAGGTCTCCGTTATGGGAAACAAAATCGGGGGCCTTCTGTACGCTCTATGAGGAATGGAGCCTGCTGCAATGGTGTTTTTTCAGGCTGGTTGGACAGGATATTCGTAGGTTTTTTGCACCCCGGAACTAGCAGCAAATCGACCTTCCCTAGCAGTTCCCTGCCCCTCAGTGTATCGAGATGGTGTTGGGATTGATCCCCTAGTTCTCAAGTTATTTCAGAAGGCTTTGGAACAAAGAAATGTGCTGGAATTGTTGTCTATCCTGCCCCCTATGCATTGGAAGTCTCTTGTCCATCTGTTGATTGGAAGCCCGGAGTGGGGACTGGGTTACTGAAAGTAGTTCCAACAAATAAGGGATGATTTTTCTCATATATTGCTGATGGGACTAACCCGAAGGTCATCCCAAATCCGTCGGTTGAAGACGGCCCAAAGAAAGTCTACCCGACCGACACCCAAGATTCTCCGACCTTCTGGGTGGTGATCAGAGGTCTTCCAGATCCGGAACCCCTACCGAATAGGGTAACATTACCATACTTAAGTTCCTGAAAGGTTGGAACTGTTGTGAAGCTGGTTGTAAGGCCTGTGGGAGGCCAAATTTCTAGCTGGCCAGAATTGACCTTCCGGGCCTTGCCTTTCTTAGTTTCTCCATCTAGAAGCAACGTAAACTCGTTTCGAATAGCGGGTTTCAGAATGTCGGTAATGTATCGCGATAGTTCCAGGACATATCCGTGAAGGGACGACCAAATTTTTCCATGGATCTACTTTTGAAGGACGCTAACTGGAAGGCTAATGATCTAGTCCGACTTTCCAACAGCCACGGAAGCCTCGTCGTGTGGGGCAGATTCCTACGCATGGCACGATGACAAATCTCTGACGATTGTTTTTTTTGACATCTCCATAGTCATCGGCAGTGTCAGTTTTCTCTTTTGAAGTTGTATACAAAAGTCGCGAGACATTGGTGTCCCACTGGGCGTGCTAATTAAGTTTTTATAAAAAATCACCTTCAGCGGCTTATTCGGAAGCCTGCTAGAATTGATTTATTTTGAAGGATTCCCTGGCCTCCTCAAGAAAAGACTATCTCGCGATGATAAAAAAAAATAATGTAAAAAAAAGCCAAAATAAACAAGAATGAAACTGGAAAAAGAATAAGGAAGCTTGTAAATTAATCTAAAGAAAAACTCAAAAAATCTAGAAAAATAATAAAAAATTAAAGAAGAAGATGATGAATAATGAATAGCGTGTAGAATCTGCTTTTACTCTAGTTTGCATCTTTTAATTTTGTTATTTTTGTTTTTTGTTACTTTAGATAAAATATTATCTCTAATTTTTCTCCAACAACTTTAACCTTCCATTCAAATCATTCCTTATCCACTTGACTGCTCCTAATCCGTACTAAGCCAGCTTAGTAATCGGGCTAAACAAATCTGTGGGCCCATTCACCATAAATCTCTGGGCTGACCAAGATATTAGATCATTTGCACTATTAGGCCATGCATTCTCCATCTTGGACTCATTCTGCATTAGGGTGGCGCTGATTTTTGGGCTGTGGGTTACACAAATATAATAATCATCTTCTTTAATTGCATTTCCTCCTCCATAATCACTTAAATGACACTCGCTTTGATTGTGTCATTATGGTCTTGTTAATGGCAATTCAATCCAAGGTTTCATCAACCTTATTCATTTATCTATTTCAATTGTCAAACCTTATTAATCATCAATCGGGTTGGTTTTTTCTATTGAGCTTGTATTCTTTTAGGCCGTCGCTAATCACCGTTGATTGGTTCGATTTAGATGTTTGGACTTGACGCAAACAAAATTATGTTGCATCGGCCTAATTCATTTCGATCCAATTGATCAAAATCCTTTGGCCCACCATTATCGATAGAATTTTTGTGTAGCAATATAATAGCTCCATATATTTCATAAAATATTGAAATATTAGATATGAAATACATTTTTTGAAAGATAAATACCTGAATCGCCAAAGAAGAAAAGTCATTGACTTGCTATAAAAAATGATAGCTCGCCAAAGTAAGTTTCCATTCATTGGATCAATTTGGCGACCAACCGTCCAAAAAATATCTCACTAAAGTTGGCGACAACATTCGATCTCAATTCCATATATCGACTATTACGACTAGACCTAATCTTATTATTGTTTCACTTCTTGACTTGATTGAAATAATCAACTCGAAATAAGATCTCATGGGCGGCAGTATGAGCGGTCAACAACAGAGGCTCAACCAGCTTTCTTGCCAACCCGAACTTTTCCTCAACGAAGCAATTACAATATCGGAAAGTCAAAATTTTTAACCGCAAGCAATCAGGATCATAAAGTTGGGCTCATATTTATCTTGTTTGATGCATTTCCATTATGTCGCCAAGATTTAGTTTCCGCAATGTCCTTTACTCCCATAGCTTTAGTGATTTTTGCAAAGCTGGAAGGAACAACTTAAACCTTTCAGTTTTTCCATGTTCGAACAACATCATTGATTTTTTTGCTTACGCAGCCCACTGTTCAACTCGTGGCCTTATTTGTCCATCTCTCTATAGCATAATTTGTCAACTTCTTGTTTAACAACTTTTTTTATCAACTTCAGTTTTCCTTCTATTTTTTCATTGTCTTCGTGAATCGCAACTTTTCCAAACTCTTTGGGAGCATCATCATGTCAAACTGAAAGTTTGAAACTGACCGATATCCACTTATGGATTGTCAACTGAGTTGTTGACAATCAAGCACTAATTGGAACCCATTATTTGCTTGATCGCTTCGGTGATTGCTCTCTAAAATTGGAAAATTATCAATTGGCTAGAAACAAAATTAGGAGAAGTGTTCGACAATCCAATAGATTTGATTATTTTAATATTTTCTCATTTTCTTTTGGTGTTTCTGAGTCTCTATAATATTTTTTTAATAAAATGATTCTCACGTATACATGGTGTAAAATAAAGGTTCTTACTATACTATTTATTTTTATTGAAATATCTCCAATCAAATGAATTAATTAGTGTTTTATTTATAAATATATAGAAATTTTCTAAAATTGTGTAAAAAATAAGCCATCTTTGGCAAACGATTGTTTTATGAGATAAAATGGTGTGTTTGTTTGGGGGATTGGATTTTAAATTCACTATTCATCCAATTTTCCCCCTAAAAAATATCAAATCAAACACCTATTTTTCATTTTTTATATTATACTAAAAATTAATTTTACATTCAAAACATCACATCAACACCTATTTATATCACATCATACAACTATTCAAATTCAAGTTTTTTACTATTCAAATCTCGACTCAAAATCAAAATCCCCAAACAAACATAACAAGTGTCACGGACCGCTTGGTGATTCCTTAAAAACTTATCGTATGGCCTAACAACTTCTGGAACACTTTTAAAACACTAAAAATTACGATAAAAAATGCTTGAAAATTGTAGAGAGAGAAAGCTAGTGAGGGAAATAGTGTTTACAGTTCTCAACTTGATGATGTACAAATGAAGTAACAACACCTATTTATACAAGTCCATTGTAAAATGGACAATCTAGATCAAATCGATCAAACGGCTACGATTTGCCGATGACTTCTACAACCTTGCACAAGGTTCTACCATCTCCCAACTATCACATTAATGTACAAATTTTAGTTTTATCTCAAGTATCCACAAGGCCATTCCTTGGTTTTTGGCTTATTTTCTATGGCTTTATATTAAATACATATTTTTGTATAAAAATAATGATACTCTAATAACATCCGTAAGCGATGAAAGACCAAAAATAAGTGAAGAATTGACGTGTTTTTTGCATGTGATCGTAATACTCTAATGGCCCATAAAAATTATTGTTGAACCCACTGTTATTGGCCCAATTTTGTGGCCCAGTTCACGGATTCACTAGTTATAAGTGAGATCATCTAAGCCATTAACTTTGTAGTTTTCATGACATCTACTTATATGATATATGTTTATATCGCAGTATTGTGTGATGGTCATTCATTGTCTTTTATATTCACACGTCCCTCACGTATTTTTTTCCTCTCTAATTGTTAGGATTCCGATAATGAAATTTTTAACTGTCTCTGATTTTTTGTATTTTCATACGGTGTGAGGTTGACTAAACGTATATAACTATAGTATTATTGTCCGTAGTTTAAGGTTACGCTATTATAGTGTTATTGTCCGTAGTTTGAGGTCCGGCCATTAGAGTGAGTAGTTTTTATATATATTTTTTTTACTGTATAATTTTAAATCCCTAAAACAATATATATTATGTGTATTTTTATGTCGTAATGTTGAGTTTCTTAGCATTAGACTCAAATGTTTTTAGTATCTCTTTTTATTACTAACATATCATATTTAATATTTAATTTTCATTTTAAAATATTATGTTCAATTATTTTACCTTAAACAAATAATAAACAAAAATTATTTAATTTTATTTATAAAACTCATATCAAACTTTTTATCTTTTAAATACACTAATTTTATATTAAAAATATTGCATAAGTAACTATACTATCTTAAAATTTTAACAAAAGCTTTAACTAGTCAATACTCTCTCCGTCCCACTTAATTTGTCCACTCTATCTATTTATGTCTGTCCCACGTAATTTATCATTTCTTTTTTTTAAAATATAATTATGAATTTTAATCATATTTTAAAATTCGTAATTTCTAATTTTATTTTATTTTAATTAAACTATTTAGTCATCTTAATCTTTATCTATAATTATTTTTATTAAATCATTATTATTTTTACTAATATATTTTTTAATTACTTACAAATTATACAATACCTAAAAACTTTGTGACTAAGCTAAAGTACACAAATTAAGTGGAATAGAGGAAGTACATTTTAACAATGTTTTGTTTAATTTAAAACATATGTAATTATTATTTAAATCAAAACTCAAAATTAAAAATAAAATACAAACACAATCCATATATATGTATGTAGGCATGTACATGATCCTTTGTTAATCTTTACATATTTTATATATGTTTGTACGAATATACATGTTCTTTTTGTTAATTACTTAATTTGGATGACATGGGAATCAGGCGAACCATGTGTGGCAGGTGGACCTGAGGCGTCGTAGGTTTGAATCCATAACCTCATGATTACAAATCCAACCCTTACACCACCAAGCCATCCTTACGTGACTAATTTGGACCTTTGTTCTTGCAGTATTCTGTGGTATGCCGACACCTGCAACATCACATATACTCATTCAATATTTCATTCGTATCCTTAATATATATATGTATATATTTCAACATCACATATACTCATTCAATATTTCATTCGTATCCTTAATATATATATGTATATATTTCAGTTGCTTTTTATAGTTCTGATAATTTTTCACTAATTCATTCTATGCCATTTTTATTCCATTTTTTACCTTTTATATTCTATTATTTGAAATATATATTTTGAGTGTGTTTGTTTGGGGTTTGAATTTTGAATTGAAATTTAAATAGTAAAACTTTTGAATTGAAATAATTATAAGATATAAAATAAATCGGTATTGATGTGATTTTTTGAATGTAAAATTGATTATTAATATAATATAAAAGCTTAAAAATAGATATTTGATTTAATATTTTTTTTAAAAAAAAATTTAATAAATAGTAAAAATTGAGGGAAGTATTTAGTAAATGGAGTAGTATTTATAAAAACAAACCCCTGTTTTGTGTTTTAGTTTGAAAAATGTATTGAAAAATCTATTTTTGATGTGAGGTATAGGAAATTAGGTAGATAATATAAAATTAATGATTGTATGAACTATATTGATTTTTTTTTAAATTGTGAAAGTTTTTTTGAAAAATAAACAAACCCTAAGTAGTTAAGATAATATTTTAAGAGGGTGTTTGAGAAATAGTTTTTTTTTTAAGAGCTTTTAGCTTATTAAAAAACTTTTAGCTGTTTGAGCAGTCAAAAAGTTGATTTAGGTGTTTGGTAAATTAGCTTTTTGAATTAGTTTTTTGAATCCAAAAAGCTAATTTCCGAAAAGTTCATTTATTCAGCTTTTTAAAAGAGTTTTTCATTTTAATTTTTGTTATTCCTAATTTACCTTTAAAACTTAATTATTTATTTTATACATATAAATATATTTTTATAGCATTATTTATTAATTATTTTTAATATATTTAATTTATTAAATTATATTTTTATTTTTGTAAATTTAAAATAATTATTATTATTATTAATTATTACATATAAATTATTTTATTTGTAAAATATATAATTTTTTAAAACTAAATCAAATAGAAAAAACAAATGTTATTAATTTATTTATATATATTAAAACAATAATTAACATAATAAAAATATGGGTAAACTGTTTTTTAGTTTCCTAACTGGACCCTCTTATCATTTTAGTCTCGTAAGTGGAGTCTGTCGCAAACTAGTTCGATAAGTGAAAATTTTTTGCTATTTTAGTCCTCGAGCGCCGAAGACGCCCGCGTAGCTCGCCGGAAGCCACGTGTCCGTCAGGTATCCCACCAGGCCAGCAACACCTGGCGGACACGTGGATTTTATTTTAATTTTTATTTTTTTTCAATTGGATTAATAAAAAAATTAAAAAAGGCAAATAAAAGTAAAAATAAATTTTAAATAAATTTTTTAAAAAATGAAAAAAAAATAATAAAATCCACGTGTCCGCCAGGTGTCGCTTACCTGGCGGACACGTAGCCTCCGACGAGCCACGCGGGAGTCTCCGACACCGAAGGACTAAAATAGCGAAAAATTTTCACTTATGGGACTAGTTTGCGACAGACTCCACTTACGGGACTAAAATGATAAGGGGTCCAGTTACGGGACTAAAAGAATAGTTTACCCTAAAAATATATATACAAAAATTTATTATTTTATATTTTACATAATTTCAATAAAAAATTATTATTTTTTAATAAAAATAATTTTCTCATATCTAAATAATAAAAATAAAATTAAATATTTATAATATTTTTATAATTTTTAATAATTAATAACAAAAATTCTCATAAATTTCAAATCAAAATGAACAAAATTAAATATTTTAAAAAATAACATATCAATGTCCTTAATAATCATTTTATGTATCAACAGCTAATGTCAAACAGTTCTTTTACCGAACACTTTAATACAAATCGCTAATTGCATTAGTTAGTCAAACCAACTAATTGAATCAGCTAACAGCTAACAACTAATTGAATCAGCTAACAGCTAAAAGCTATTAGCTAATTGCCGAATGCACCATAAATTAATAAATTTTAATAATTATGTATCAAATAAAAAGTTTAATGTCTTTGTTCTTTCAATAATTTTCTCTCACACAATTTCTCAAAAAAATTAATACACTACACACATTCATTATTTTTATACTCCCTCCATCCACGGATAAAATATATATTTACTTTTGGCGCAAAGTTTAAGAAATAATAGTATTTTAATTATTGTGGGTAGGTAAAAGTAGTGTAATGACATTTTTGCCCTTGCTTTTTGGTATAAAAGTAATGATGTGATGTAAAGTAAAGGTATTTGTGGAAAAAAGTGGGGTATTTAATAAAATAGTTACTTTGTAATTGAACGTCCCAAAATAAAAATATGTATACTTTGTAGCTGAACGGAGGAAGTATTTCGTATACCTTTCCATGGCATCAAAAAATTTACTTTCTAACAATCTCACAAAACAAAAAAATACTGTTTTAAACTATAAATAATCAGGTAAAAGAATGTTTAGGGTATATTTAGTTTTGATTTCCAATCAAAATTATTATTATTTATTTTTAACTTTTAATAAAAGTATAATATTATATTTTAAATTAAAATTAAAAAAAATTAGACTAAGAAAAATCATACAAACATTTGAATTTAAATAGTTATTTGATTTAATATAAATAAATAAATATTAATGTAATATTTTAACGTAAAATAAATTTATAATGTAATATAAAAAATAATTGTTTCATTTAATATTTTTGAATTTTTTTTTTTAATAATATAAATTTATGAAAACCAGTTAAGAACCAATCTTAATAATAATTATATAAAAACTAAAAAGGAGATAAATTATATAGTCAAATAATTAGCAGTATATTTCCCTTTATTTATAAATTCCGTAAAAATTTGAGTGCATGTGTGTGAAATGACGAAATTGCCCTGGCAGTTTGGAGTATTGAAGGCGAGAGAGAAGACCAAAACTCACAGCTTCTATATCAATCTTGTGCACAAGAAGCTTCCGGCGTTCCCGACAGCTGGCCCTGTACGCCACCGCCACGTGTCCCACCGCCAATCCCGCCGACGAAACTAGCAGCGCCGCCTTGGCTCTCGCATATCCGCCACCGCCAAACATGTACGCCGCCTTCGCCGCCACCACCACCAGCGACGCCGCCGAGCACGCCGTCGCCACCCCCAAGTACAACGGCCCCCTCCACATCCGACGCCCCTCGCCCCCCAAACTGTACACACCTATAATTTAAACGTACATACACAACAAATCATTATTATTATTATTCTTATTAAATAATAATAATAATAAGTTATGTTTGGATAGAGGTTTGGATTATGAATTGAGATTTAAATAATAAGAAATTTGAATTGTAATAATTGTATGATGTGATATATGTTATGTGATATTTTGAATATAAAATTTATTTTTAATAAAATATAAAAAATAAAAAATAAAGATTTGATTTGATATTTTTGAAAAAAAAATAATAATAAATAGTAAAATTTCGGAGATTTCTCCCAAAGCCAACACACCCACAGGTAAAACTATAAAGACAATCGTAAATATAATACCCTATTCGTCTCATAGCTATGTACCTGTTTATTTTTTGCACAAAGTTTTAGAAATATTAATATTATATTGGGATATAGTAGGAATAAAGTAGAAATAACTAAAATAACCTTACTAATATTGTGTGATATAAAAGTAATAATATTTGTGTAATATATTGCAAGTTATAAAAGTATTTGTAATGTTAGGTATATAGTATAATTATTGAAAAAAAAAATGAATACTTTGTTATGGGACGTACTAAAATAAAAAAATAGATAATTTGTTATGAGACGGATTAAAATGAAAAAATGGAACGAGTAAAATAGGATAATCGTAACGGATGTTCTGATAATAATAATAATAAATTAATTAATAAATAAATTAACCTAACCTAAGATAATGGCGGAGCGGGCGAAGGAGACGATGGGGATATCAACGAGGGAGCAGCAGAACTGGTAGCGGCGGAGCTCGGCGGCGATCGTACGGAGGCTGAGGGACGCCGGCGAGAGCGCGGCGGAGAGAAAGGCGTCGGCGACGGCGAGGAGAATCGGGGTTTTGAACACCAGAAAAGACGCCGACGCCGTCATCGTGCACAGGAAAAACACGATTTTGACCCATCGAGGAATCTTCACTATTACAATCTGCTTCATCACCTTTTTCTCTCTCTCTCTCTCCTCCACTCTCACTCCTACTTTCATCCTCAACTTCTGCTAAACTTAGTATTAATCGAAATCAAATGGCAGAATTTTGACTCATCAGATCATGGGTCAAGATTGCTTTCCTTTAATATACATGTATATATGTTCTGGAAGGATCTTTATACACAGTAGTGATTCTATGCGGGTTGATCTGAACCGTTCAATCTTCGGGTCAGGAGTTTTCAACGGTTGAGATTGAATGCAGTACAAATAATATTAAACCTTGCTTCTTGTAAGTATAAATTTAACTGTAATAACTACCTAACTGATTGATTCGTTTACGGTGGTAGTTTGAAATGGTTATAAACTTTGGAAGGTCTCGAGGTGTATTTATTTAGTATTTTTATTCGATTTTTTTTTTAAAAAAAAATTTAAATTGTATTGATAATATAAAATATAATACTAATTCTAAAAGTTTCATTTATTTTTTACTACGTGTTGATTTTTTAATATTAATTATTATATCAAAACGTAGTACAAATTAATAAAAAAATTGCAAAAATACTTTTATTGTCTTATAATACTAATAGGACATTTGTAAAAAATTATATAAATATAAAAATATTTTTAATATTAAGTACAATGACAAAAAAATAAAAATAACCCTTACATGCGGGACGAATTAAGTATTTTATATTAAATTTTTAACTTTTTTTTTATAAAAGAATATAATATATTTTATATATAATTTTTAATATTAATTAAAAATTATATCAGCAGTGTAATTAATTTTGAGTGAAAATTTGGATTATTATTATTATCATTATTATTATTATTATTATTATTATTATTATTATTATTATTTTATTTTGATATAGTATGTTTGAAGAGTTTGAATTCTAAAAACATATGATTGATTGATATGATAATAAAGAAGTTTGTTGATTTGATCAGGGTGTCTTGGATTATTATTTTATTTTGATATAGTATGTTTGAAGAGTTTGAATTCTAAAAACATATGATTGATTGATATGATAATAAAGAAGTTTGTTGATTTGATCAGGGTGTCTTGGGATTTTTTTGAGCTTTGAGCAAAAAAATAAATGATAGATTTTATAAATAAATGAAGTTTTTTCAAAATATTATCTACGACAAATATAATATTATATCCGTCCAGCTCTAAGGGTCTCATTTACTTTTTGCGTATTGATTTTTTAATATTAATTATTATATGAAAACGTATTACAAATTAAGGGAAAATGACAAAAATACTTTAATTAATATCTTATAATATTGTTATAATGACATTTATACAAAAATTTATACAAATATAAGAATATTTTTAACATTAAGTACAATGATGCAAAAGGTAAATGAAAACCTTAGAGCCGAATCGGACGGAGTAATAAATTATACAAAAGTAAAAATTATATTAATCATATATACTATAAATGAAATATAAGTGGTCTAGTTTTTTATACATATTTTAACTATTATAAAAGTTGACAATATTTGGACTATTATAAAATTTGCCAATATTTGGACCATTATAAAATCAATAACTCAATAATACTAGATACAAATTTTAAAGACAGAATATATGATTAATTTTAGAAAAAATCTTATTAGAGTTTATTAAAATTAGAATTGAATTTGAGATTAATTTTAGAAAAAATTTTAGAATTAATTGAATTGATTAATTGTAGGAAAAAAAAGTGTGAAATTAAATTTAAATTAAGTTTTAATATATTTAATAATAATAATGGACTTTAAAAATATTTACAAATTCCAAAGACAAGGAAGATATATTTTTTTTTTAAAAAAAAAAGATCCGATTAGAATTTAATTTTAGAATTAAAATTAGATTAAGTAATTATTAAGAAAAATATGCGATAAGATCTAAATTAAATTTTAATATAACTAAAATTTAAAATTATTGGCCCTGTAGAAGCTCTGAGCAATTGTTCCTGCTGAGAGTAGCTCTGGATTTGATGTATGTGTAAATAAATTAAAATCAATTATGAGTGTGTTTCTTTAGAAGGAGTTTGGAGAAATTGAGTTTGAGTTTGGATTGAATTTAAATTTTAAAATAAGTTTGAATTTTTGTATTCCTTTAGATTATATGTTTGATTTAAGTTTGGGAGTTTTGATATGCATTAATTTGATAGGTAATGATTCTATTGATTTAAAAGTATAATATATGTTTTATTTTTTTTGCAATGTAAAAACATGATTTTTAAAATAATATTTTGAATTTTTGAGCAAAAATTATTTCTAGTCTCATTCAAACTCATTTTGTTTTTCATCTTCAGTCATACTAAAAAAATATGTATTAAAACTAGTCCACACAAAACAAACTCATTATTTTTAGTCACACCGTTCATATTTTAACGAACTATGTTGGCGTGGTTGTTACGGGTGCTGATTTGACAGTTGAGTTGGATCAAACACGGCCGTATTAGGTAGAATCCGCCCGTGTCTAAACCAACAGATAAGCCACCATTCTGGCCGATCTAAACACGGGCATGTTGAATATCACATGCCCATATTTATCACAAAACATACCCATTTATGTGGACATGTTTGAACACGGACGTGTTTTTAAAAAACACGCATGTGTTCTGTCTCACATCACTACTAAAATCATGGTCAAACATGGGCGTGTTTGTTTTAAACACGGCCGTATTCGTTGGTATAGACCTTAAAACATATTCTTATTTCAATTTTTGTGTTGTTGCATCTCAATTGATATTTGTAATATATGATCATTAAATATTTTTAATTATACAAACAATCGGAAACTACATAATATCTATTCAATCAGAGTCATCATGTGCTTCATCCATCAAAGCATCCGTGTTGAGCATATCTCTACATGATCGAATTGGTGATTCATCTCAATACTCAACTCATCGACGGATGACTCCTTATTGGTGACCCTATGCTGAACCCGGTGATGAAGCTGAGGGCGCACACAACCTTTCGCTCCACCTTGTCGCCTGTGCAGAATCATCCGGATCCATCTCATCACTAACCTTACTAACCAACACAAACCGCTCCCGTCCTCCTTGTGTCCTAATTTTTACAATCATACCCATAGACTGTAGGGTGTGGAAACCACACGGCATCATAAGACAATAAGGCTCCTCCGTCACTTCATTAAATACCCCAAGACCTTTTGCCAATTGAGTAACATAAGGTTCAATAGCAATACCTCCTAGACGTTTATCCTGAAGTTGATGCATAAGGAACCGTGCAAACATGTATCCTAAATTTACAGGTATGCATGGATACATATTCCAAAGATAACATAAATCCTATGATGATACTACTCTGGTACTCTCTTTACGACCAGATAATGTATGAGCCAACATATAATAAATATATCGCAAAGGTACATACCGGAGTGTCGATGCCTTTGACCGTGTAGGATTGTGAAATTGCTCCGTGTTAATCCGTGACCAGAATTGATGAGCATTTTTCGGTATCAAAGTGGACAACTCCTTAAACTCTGGCGCATCCACGAACTCCCTATCACAGAAACCCATAGTTGCAGCGAATTCAGATAGAGAAATCGAAAACGTCCTGCCTCTGAGTTGAAAAATCAGCTACTTTGGTTTTTCGTAGTGATAGTTAATCGAGTTGTGCGTCAACGTATTCATGAATTCCAACGTCAAGCTCTTGTAAGTCGGCTCTATAATTTGGAAAAAACGACGCCATGTCCCTACTGAAATCAACTCCTCTACATCCCCTTCTATGCCCAGAGTCTCTAATACTTTGCTATCGATATGCTTACTCGTAAAAATGTTTTATTCTTCAAACGCTCGTACTGTTCTACATGCTCTTGTTCTCGAGAATTAAAAAATTGACCATTTACATCCAAATCCGTATTTTGGGATGAACCGTAGTGGTTGATACTCTATTGCCGCTCCGTTGTTTCTTTCCCTTAGGTGTCATTTTAACTACTAATAGTTAAAAAAATTTCAATACAACACCTAATAAGCATGATGCTGATTTGACCAAATAAGCACTCTAACCGCTGCAAATATATATATATATCTCTAGATGTCCAAGTTTCGGAAAGTTTTTTCACACTATCAATATGTCAAATTTGGTTTAAATTTGCAACAAGTTAGCACATAAAATTTGTCATTCATAGTCGACAAAAAATAAAATGTATGCCATAGTAAGAGACAATGCATTCAATGCCCTGCAAAAAGAAAATGACAACAATCAAGACTAGGCTAGGCTATCTCATTGCGGCTACTCGCCGGTCAGTGGGTGTGCAATCGGTGATGAACACGAATCTTCTAGTGGGTAAGTGTGCAGTCAATCCCAAAATACGCCTATAGAACAGTTAAAGTACTTTTTTGATATCGTCAAACTCCTTTCGAAAATCCACCTGAAGCGCAAAAACCTGTCATCTATTTAATCTACTTGCAGACTAATGGAAATGTTGGAAGTCGAAGGACATAGGGCATTTTTCATGCCACAATGCAACCATTCTATAAATGGGGTTCTCTCTTCCACGTTAAGGTATAATACCTATCTAAATAAGTACATCAATCCCTGCAGGTCATATCTTACATGTAGTCCACTCTCAAATCCTATCATCAACACAGAGTCCCTTCCTAAGTTGAGTCACGTACGGTCCAATGGAAATTTCCTGTAAGTGTCCATCAAAAGACTACTTTGCAAAAAATGGGCACGCCAAAATCCAACATGGTTAGGGTAATTCTCTACTATACTATATATGTAGTTAAGGTCATTTGTGGTTACCACACTTATGCTACTACTCCTTCTTGATAGTATTGACGAAAGGAACTTATGAACATAACTCAAAGCCCGAGAATGAAGTGCAAATGCCTTCGACTGTCTAAAATCTTAAACTTGATCGTTGCTTATCATTACCTAGTATGAGTGCTTATGCGGCTCTTCACCTGACAAGTCATTAAATGAAAGTAAAAGATGTATGAGTTTAAATTTTAATTCAAACGGTGTTTCACCATCTATTCGAGGAAAATAAATGCATAGGGGCTGTTGATTCAAGTTAGGAGCAGCCAACTTCCCCAATATGTGGTTCATGTCAGCCATGTCGAATTCTTCACTTGTTGTCATGCCAT